AATTAATTCTTTGCACTGATCCCCAGAAGAAACGTTTTTTTTGGCTATAATAAAAAATTTCAATACAACTGACTAGCACGAGAAGAGACACTTATTGTACCACAGTTATTTGCAGGCTGCAAGATAGGTTCTTATCTGGAATATGGATACCTTAGGCGCAATTCTTTTATTTATAAGATGAACGTGAAAAAATTCCGTTTTCAATCAAGAATATTTAATTTGAAGAGAGAAATTCTTTATCTGGTTTATGACAAATAAGTTTGTTCTTCTGTTCAAGTCATCTCTCAGCTAAAAAGCCCTTTTTTCTCTCATTTTAGTAGCTGAGTAAGAAGCTGCTCTTTCTCATTGCGATTAGAATCAGCGAGAAACTCTTTTTTGAATCCATAAGTTTTTCTCCCCAAGTAATTTGCACATCCAAGAACACAATGGCCACATAGCCGAAGAGAGCACACGCGCTGAGTGGTTGACATCTCTATGGGGTCTGTCATATGTGTGTGTGTGTGTGTGCACTGCACTTATGTATGTGTTAAATTACACACTAGGCACTTTGCTTAGTTTATTGTGTATACACATATTTTAATTTTGATTAAAATTTATTGCACCACTCAAAGGCAGCAGCGATATTCATACGTAAACCTGTCCGCCGCCCACCAAGAAGACAGGCGCATCTGTGTCCAAAGCCAAAGCCTGACTAACTGGCTGGTCAGTCAGTCAGTCTGCCTGTCTATCTGTCAGCTGGTCAATCCGTCTGACTGTCGGCCTGGCTACAGGCAGACACGTTTGCCATTCGGCTCGTTGGATATTAAGCTCGAGTCTAACAATTGGTTTTTTCCGGGGGCATTTCATTCAAGCAGAGCTGCGAGTGACTTTCCTGCGTTATTGTCAGCGCCGTGTCTTAAGGTTCTTTTTTTTTGCTTTTTTTTCTTTCTTATCCATCTAGCTGGAGGTCTTTTCTACTTTTCTACACAATGAATAGCGCAAATTAAAGCGAGCGCGTCTATACTCGTAAATCTACTGTCATAACGCCTACGAGGAGCGACTAGACTAGACGATCTGAGCACTCTGAGCATGCCACAAATCTAGTGGCATCATAGCATCATAGTATCCAACCGAGCTGCAGGGGCCACAACACATTTTAATCAGTGCTCAAGTACAAAATGACCAAGTCCGAGCGCCATAGTTCATTCGCTTCATTGTTGGTTTGTCATATGCATATACTTGACCATATATACTATATATATCAGATATATGCTTTACATTTCTATGTAGATATATCAAACATTTATGTTGATTATGCTTCTTACAACTGTCTGTGATTTGTTGCTCTGTCGGTTGCCATGGTCATGAACACAATTAAAAAAAAATGAAAGAAAAAAACAAATCCCATACCGACTGACGCTTATGTAATCTGTTCACAGACAATCTGTGTAAATAGCTGCCAGCCTCATTCTCTAATAACAAGTGTCTGCCTTCTCACACATACGATTTTTTCAATTTATCCTTGTCCGTTATCCTTAAGCGGGAGAAATAAAGTTTCTATTTTTGCGGTAACCGTTTGACATTGACATATTGGTTGGTGTAAAAGTTCATAAGCAACTTTTGTTGGTCTGCAACATTAGCTCTTTCACTTCCTTTTTCATGCAGTATCCGCAGACGTTTCACATTTTAATATGCTGTTGAATTATAAATGCCAACGAACAAGTAAACAAGTTGTAACTTTATTTGAACTTTTTAACATATCTGTTAAAGTTTTCAGGTAAACAAGCTGTTAGTTTAAGTTTATTTAACATATCTATAAATATACAAGTTCAAATCACTCCTAAACATTGCGCCACAGGCTACTGTAATTAACAATGCTGTTACAGTTTTAGCTGTAGGTCGTCAATCTGAATTTCACGCTTTTCACACGACCACGCTGCGTATACGTAATGTGCGAGAGTTCCATCTTTCGCCGGAGGGGCAGCTATGGCTACGACAATATTGTTAATGTGCTGACATATTTATTTTGCTTAAAAGTCATAAGTGCCTTTTAATATTAGATATATATATATATAACACATACATAAGTATCACATATATTGAAAATTCATCGTCTCGCAAAGGCTGTCTTGCTTTCATGTCGCTTATTGATTTTCCAAATATTTATTTGGCAAGCTGTCGGTTCACATGCTCTACAAACAGATAGTTAAACGGGGTATGATCCAGTTAAGAAAGTAGGCAAAAATGCTTATGTGAATCTATAAATAACAAATATGTATATTTTAAAGACATCAAGTCTTATTATCATGTTCTCTAGCTCAAATGGTAATAGAAACTTTTCAAATTGCAATTTGGAATGTACATTTTTGAATGCAGTTTTGAATACGGATCGGATTAGCAGAAGAAAGAAGTAAAGAACATATTATTTATTTTAATCACTACATGAACAATATATTCATATACAAGGACTCAATTGGATGCTGAAGCTCTACAGAGCCGAGCCCAGAGTATCTGTTAGTCGTAGCTACTAAGCATAAGCATTCGTTGATTGTTTAAATTACGTTCGCATTGCTGCCACAATCGGAGCCTCGTGCGTCTTCATACACGTGCTGCAGGCGTGGCTCGAAAGGACGACACTCGCATTGAGCTGTCGTCAAGTTGGCGAATACCTATTATAAAACAAATGTATTTATAAACCTGACGCGCCCATCAGCAAATGTGTAAGTATATTACAATAGCAATAACTCAAACACAATGTGAACATGACGAATGGCAATATCATTATCGTATATACATATATTTATATATAAATATATGCATATGTATATGGATGTATATGCCTCTTTTTGTCAGTTGACCATTTGTCAGCTGAACTCATCGGCCCTCGGACATCGTTGGCCAACTATCGACTCGTTTACATAAGCAAACTTTGCACACCAGTTAAGTTGTTACAAAGGGTGGGACTTGGGGTTGTGGGTGTGATATGTCTTTTGTTGTAGTTGTTGTTGTTGGCACTCGTTTTGGGGTCACAGCTGCAACATCGTGCCAAAGTTTGTACACCGAACAAACACACACACACTTACACACGGACACTCGTGCTGTTTCGTGTCGTTACATAACATGGATATTAGAATAGGCGAAAAGGAGACGCTGCTGCTCCTCCTCCTCGTGCACAGCTCACTTTATGCTATTACGTGTACTCTCAGCCCATTTAGCCCGCAGCGCCGGCAGCGTCGGCCACTTAAAGTCAGTGTGCGCCTATTGTTTGCTTATTCGCTTACAGTGAAAACTGCCCAGAGGAGATACACATCTTTAGACATTAGAATACTAAAATTCAAAACTACAAAAATGAAAATATATATAATATAATATATAACAAGCAAAAAGAATCATTTCCGATCTCATAAAGTACACAAAATCTTGATAAGGATCAACAGCCAAATCGATATGACCTCGAGCAGCTCAGAAACTATAAGTTCGCATATATTATTGGCAGATTAGATGCATATGCATGTTATTAATCAACACCTATATTGATATCATTACTGTCGGCAGGCACAAGCATTGTCAGTCTGTATTATTATATGTCTAGGCAAGGATCTACGTAGGAGATGCTCGTCAAGCAATAATTTTACTTTGATTTCAATTATAAGATTCTAAATTCTCAATAAATTGGTAAACTATTGTTTTGGGCAGATACAATATATTTGACGGCTGGATTCAGGGAATATCGTATTCGAGCGAGTAAATTATACCAAAAAAATACAATATTCCAGCTGTGTAAACTAACCACAAGCAAACAATCGTTGCTTAATATTTAACTCTTTAGCTTTTTCATATCGACATTAAGTATTTCGAATCTTATCAGCCATTCGTAAATAATATCGAGGATTTTTCCGCAGTAAGTCAGTAAGTCACATCGTCAAGGACTTTTAGTTGGGTTAATTACAGCTAAGCAGCTTTTACTGTACACAAATCAACCCCTTCCGACCCCGCTGCTTAAAACCCTGTTAGCCAAGTTTCTTTTGCTGCGATATCTTTATTGATTTTCTGTTTGGGTTTTCTATTACTTGGATCTGTATGTGTGTGTTTGTGTGTGTCTGTGTGCGAGGGTGCTGCTGACATTTAGTGTAATTAGACTTGCTCGTATTCGCATTTGTATTCGAGCTGAAGTACCCAAAATAGAACTGCACCACTTAAGATAGCTGGCGAGCGAAAGATGTCCTCGCTCAAGAGTCCTTCGTCCCCAACCCCCAAGACATGTTCAGAAAAACTTACTGCTGACATTTATATATTACTTTACGCTCTGACTGACTTTGTTTTTTATTTCTTGTCCTTTTTTATCTTTTTGTATAATGAGTGAGTTTGTCCAACCGCTTGACATGTTGATGAATAATTAACATCTCTCTGTGGGTGTGTGTGAGTGTGTGTGTGAGATGACGTCATTGTTGCTGAGGCGCTCGATAAGCGATTAAAAGAACGGACATGACGAATTGTAAAAGTAAATGTCAAAAACTCTTACTGTGGATGTTTTATCAAAAAGGTTTTTGTTTTCGTTTCTAGCTGCTTATACAATTCATGCAAATGTCTACGGCTCGAAAATCGTCTGACTGACACACATTCCTGCGCAGCAGTTAACACACACGCACACACACTCTCTCTTTCTCTCTTAGCCTCAGCCTGAGACTCTTGCTCGAGTCGCGATTTTATGAGGGCGCTTCTGCTGCTCCAGTTTCGAAGTTCTCGCACCACTGTACACTGTACACTGCCCATTGCCTGCCTCACTTGTCACACTGCCATACATTTCGCGCGAGAGTTCGAAAGCTTATCTAATGCATAAGTATGTACTATACATATGCAGTCAGGCAGCCGCGGTAGGAGCGAAACATCTGGTAAACGAAAAGCTCGGAGCGATATCTTCGAATTCGGACGAACACGATAGAATTTTTTTCTTGTTTCGTTTATTTCGTTTGTTTGAACGAAAGCTTAACCACTCGCGGCATGCTGAAAATTTTCAGTCGAGCGTTGTTACCGAACTAGGAAGGTCGGTCTAACTGTAGTAGCTATATTGAGCTCTCGTCTCTCAAACGTCGGGTGGTACAGCCAGTGTGCCAGTACTAGTACAGCTCTACACAGCTCCGCTCTGCCCGCCGCCTCCTCCTGCGTTGCGCTGGTGCTGCTGCCCGCTGCTTACACAATAACTGTGCATCGATAAAGCCGAAGAAGAAGCACACAGGATACAAAAAGAAGCAAAAGAAAAAAACGCAAACTCTTAAGCTGTTCCACAGCTTAACGAGTATAAAAAAAAAACGCAACGTGTGTGTGATTTGTTATTGTTGTTCGCAGTTAAAGTGTAAAATATAGTTTAAAGGGGTAGTTTTCTGTGAAATCACCCCTCCTCCGATCGCCCCCCTCAACAACGAGGCACAGCTAAACGGAAAGAAAATTGTGTAATAGCACTCGAAGTGTAAAAGGTAGACATCAAAAATTAAACAAGACTCTTACTTACTGTGGGTAACATTTATCATCTTTTTATTATGTAGACGTTGTCGTTAGATTTTTACTCTTTAAATGCAACCCTAGTAAAACTTTGTATATATATAAAATAAAAAGTAAAAAAAAAGGAGACCAACGACAACGTCCTTGTACAAAATCGATTTTCCAAAACTTCATGCCAGAGCCGTAATGGATACGTATGTGGTGTATAGACTATATATACATATATACATATATATATATAACTATACATAAGAGCTTTTCAAGAACTGTGTAATTAATATTTAACTGATTGATTTTGTGACAATGTGTCTGAAATGTCTCTTCTCATTTAACATACATGTTAACAGTAACTTTCATTTGGTTTGACATTCAGTTTCCAGTGCTGCTTCTCTGTCCAATCGAATATTCTATCTATATAAAAGTATATACAGTGGACGCGAAAACTTTTGCAAATATTATTTTTTGTTGCTTACAAATTCATATAAAACGCAAGTCAAAATTTGCTACTCTTTAAAAGTAACATGCAAAAATTGCAGATTTGCAAGCAAAGGAATGCATTGAAAAATACGGCTATAATTTCTCATTTTAGCGGTCCCTGTATATATGTAATATTTGCATGCATTCTACGTATGTGTGTATTATATACAAAATACTTGTCCGTCTGTCTGTTCTTTTTTCTTTCGCTTTATGCACATTAATTTTTTATAGCGCTGACGTACATTTGGTGGCAATGAAATCGTTTAGATTCAATTGCGGCGATTTCATTTTGGAATAGCAGTAATTTCCTGGCCACCCCAAACGGTTGCCTGTGCCTGTGCCCCTATATATATATATAATATAATATATATATATATATATATATATATATATATATATAACCCCAAGCATAGGAGCCCAACTGAAAGAGAGCAGCGGGCAGTGAGGCAATGAGGGGCGCCCAAGTTCGGGTGCTGGGCAAAGGGGGGAGAGAGGGGACGACCACCCGTTGTTGGTTATTTCATAATTCTGTGCGCGCTACAGAAACAGAGATGGAATAATCTTGGACAACAGTATAATATATATTCTTTTTACATTTTGTGTTTCGCATATCCCTTACACATTATTCTCTGTGCTGCGCTGCTCTCAGTGTGCTCACAATAAGATGGCGCTCATTTTCGAAGTGCTAGCCATTGCATTCGATATCGAAAATCACGCGCCCTCACTCTCTATTGCTGTGCACTCTCTTTTTTGGGCTCTTGTCGTGTGCCATTATTTAACATCCTTCTACTGCTGCTGCTGCTGCTAGCTGCAGTTTCTATTCCAGTTAGCTTCCACTTCCAATTTCCATGCCGACTCTCTCTGCACTGCTTTTTACTGTTACCTTTCCATTGGCTTTGGTAGTGCGGTCCACTTGCTGCTTCGCCGCCATGCGCTGGCTGGCTCCTCTGCACCCTTCCAGGGTCGTCTCTTTTCTCTTCTTCTTCTTCGTTTTTTTGTGCCTGCCTGCAGATTGTTGCATAAGCTAAAAATCATTAAATTTTCTTTTCATTTTTTTCTCCCTTTTTTTTGTTTTTTTTTATTTCTTTATTGCAGTTTCTGTTCCTTGTTTTATGTTTTTTTATTTTTATAACTGTTATTAAGTTTTGTCTGTGGCTGTAATTTTTTTTATTATTTGTTATTCGTCGTTTTACCGTCACACTTCGTCACATCGCAGACGTTATGAGTGTTCAGGTGGGTAAAAAGAAAATAATAATAATTTCAAAAATAATCAGAAATATGTGCTAACTAGACGGTATTTTACGTATTAATTTAATTATCATTAATTTGCGATCATCATTTGCATATATAATTTTATTTTTAGTTTCCTATTAATTGTAGTATTAGTTTCTTTTCTATTGAATTTACTTATTAAGTGTTTAACAGAAATGTAAGGTTGATTTTTTCTGGCCCCAAAACCACCGTATATTTTATCGTATAAGGTTTTCAATGTGGATAAACCTCTAATCTAATTTAATCTGATGGGTCTCGCATGCTAAGTGATTAAGATGTTTGACAGTGAAATATTGTAGATCTGTGTAATGGCGAAAGCAACGAAAATAACCGCAAAAAAGGTACGATAACGAACGCTTTAATAATAGACAAACGAGAATCGGTTAAGCGAGGGAGGAACATGCAAAACATGCGAATAATTAGCGTTCATTTGTTAAAAGTCATGTACACAAGCAGGCAGGGACGTGTTTGAACTGGAGATCATTAGCATCTGCTTACCAAAAATACGACAATCGTAAAACGTGTTCGCATTCGAGAAGTGTCTGATACTGAGCAGGGATGCTCTTCATAAAAATAATATAAACAGGTCAACAGACAGACACAAAAAAATCAAAACAAAAAACAAGCTGGAACTGGTTTTTAACTGGTTATCGAAGATCACGGTTAGAGATCAAAAGATCGATGCGCTTTGCAACTAACAATTTAAATTGATAAGCACAAAGCACCTGTTTGTCTATTCTAGTTTTAGACTGGTTCAAACCGGACTGACATAGATATCGACAGACGGAGAGATAGAGAAAGAGCGAGAGACGGAGAAAAGCTCATCTCAGTTGAAATGTGCTGTTTTATGCACTTTCGTTAAGCTGAGATTGAAATGGAAAATTGTTTACAATTGCCGTTGCCATTGTGTGGCTTAATTTGCTCATTTTTTTGTTGTTTTCTTTTCTTTTTGGGCACATACTTTTATGGCATATGCATATGTATGTGTGCCTATGTGTGAGTGGTGCTCGTTTGCCAGATAGGTTTTTGCATTGATTGAACAATTAGCGGGGCCGAGCTGACTGACTGAGTGACTGACTGACTGGGTGACTGGCTGTCAATTTTTTATCTCACTCTCGCCATGCATCCGATAACTGGTCGTTATGTAGTTTGTATGTTGTTGTAAATTGATATTCAAGTTCAAATGCCAAATGCTTTGCGCGACAAAAAGTGCGCGCCAAATGCTCAAACAATAACGTTGGGGAAACCGCTGGGCAGCAAACACACAGATACACACACACACAGAGAAAGACATGCATTTGTATCGGAGCGCGCTTAATTGACAGCGTTATGTAAACTTCTCTATGTCGTCGGCCGGGCCATTGTCGCTTTTTGATTTATATCCCAACCATCCTGAGCCAGTTTGCCCCCAAAGCGTTCTAATTGTTTTCGACCAGCTCTCCTCCAGTTCTCCTACAGTTCTCGAATCTCACATGCTGAGTTTTGTCACTACTACTACTACCATAACAACAACAACAACCGCAACAACAACAATTTACAACACAATTCGCATTCAGCATTTTCAATGGCCGCGTGACGCGTTTCGTTTTCAAATTTCAAATGAATCGAACCATGAACACAACAAATAAATAAATAAATACAAAAAAATAAAAGTCACCTTTCAATTGATTTAATTTATTTAGGAAAGAATAAATTATCGCCAGTCGAGCTGTCTGTGGGAGTTAAAAAAAAAACCATATATCGAATGTATTAACAATTGTTTGCATTATTTAAGATATTCGTTAAATTGAAAGTTTAAGTTACAGTTAAGCTATATAACTAACCAATTTTATATTATACCCTTAGATTGTTTAGCATACGTTAATCAGCAAATATATATATACCCCACATATATATATATATATCTATAGAAAGATCTGAAATTGTCTGCAATCTAATCAAACCAGACGCAAACAAACAAATAAAGGGCCACAGTTAATAAATGTGCGTAAGCAGAACTCAAATATATATATAAATAAAAAAGAAAAAAATATGTATATTTTTCAAGATTTATTTCATGCCCCACTTTAAAACTCAAAAGCCCAATAAGGCCCCCCTTGTGTCCCTCCTACCCCCATTTGTACAATCGCTTGAGCAAATAAATAATCAAAGCACAAACAAAAGTCGACGAATTTGCTTTTGCTGCCCATCAAGCGTTGCCGGCGTCCAAGCGATCGCGACAGGTTGATCCTAACCCCCACCCCCACCAAGATACTTATATATACTTATATATGTATATATATATTTATATATACGAGTACATATATACTTAGTTATCTGTAGACATTTTGTATCTCTCTCTTTCGCTCGCTCGCTTGCTCGTGCGCTCTTTGTTTGTTTAATTACTTGGCATGTCGTTTTATTTTGCATGAGTATCAAAAACCTATAACAGAGATACATATCTCTCTTTTTTTTGTGTACAGTGCTCACTCGAAAATCACAACCTTGAGATATATAAAGTGAGTTCGAAATGTGACATTTTTGGGAAATGATGATTTCACAATATTTTTGTACCTTAACTTAAAATAATTAGGAGTATATTTTAATGGTTTCATTTGAAAGCCACTTCCAAATTTATAAAAAAAAATGTTTATTATGTTAACTTTAACGAGTGATCACTGCGTTCAAATATTATTTGTTTGTTTGTTTGTTTGTTTTTTTTTTGTTTTGTGCATTCGAATTACACTTTGTGATTCATAATGTCCATTTTGCTGATAAATATTCGCCTAGTTGTGGAGGCTAGTTATCGCAGAAGGCACCAATTCAACCCCATTGTTGACGTCAGTGGCGGTCCCATAATGAAGCGGTATTATCTATCAGTCGGTCGAGTAACGATATGCCTCGCCTTCCAATTGCTATCCAAGTAGCGGCACATGCGCCCTGTTGTCCCTTCCAATATTCAGTTCATCAGCACAGCCAACATGATTCATTGTCCATTTGGGATTGTCCTCGTTCTAGTATTATATATATATATATTTGTATGAGTAGATTATTATTAAGATTCGCTTATGCCATCCATCCAGTTTTGATACATCATCATCATCATCATCATATATGTAGTGTTTAATGTAATGTTTATTTGATTAGTTAATCATTTTATGTATATCCCAATCAGTCTAGTGTTCTAAAGTAATGCATTTAATTATGCTTGTCGTTCTGTTTTTGTTTCGCCATTGTTTGTTACGTTTTGATTTGTATTTCTTCCCGTCGTTCATCATCAATCAACATCATCAATCAATACCAACACCAATACCAACACCACCACCAACACCAATATCAATATCAACAACTACAGCATGGGAGAGCGGACTCTTATCGAGTCGCAACGGTTATTGCAACCGATGACGACAATCGCACAGCCGATGGCCGCTACAAGGTAAATTGCTTCTTTCCTTTTTTTTGTTTTGTATTTTCGTTTTCATTTTAAAATTTTTCGCCACACATTCTCATAAACAAATACTTATATACATACATACATGGCAAATATGTGTATACATATATATATACATATATAACATATACTGTACACAAAAATCATCGATTTGTTCCACATTTTTGTCGATTTGTTCGGTTATGCTTTCAATTTATATTATTTATTATGTGCTTATGGGTTATTTCAACTTTTTTACTTAACATTTTCATCAAACTATTTGCGTTTCTTACACTTCTTACATTTATTATTTTTGCATTTATATAATATTTACTCGTAATTTGGGCATGATTCCAACATTATTCTGACACTTGACATTTGAACGAAATTATCGAAAGATCGAAAGATCTTAAATATAGCACAACCGTTTCAATATACCAGTGCATTTAGATGAGATATTTGCGAATTGAAGTGTACTGTAATAGATTAGATAGTTCTTACATAATTCTAGTAACATATTTTGAAATAACTGGAAAATTCTCTAGAATATATGAATATTATAGAAAATAAATAAGTTGATAATTCTCAACAAAGGCCATAGTAATTGCAACCAGTTGAAGTTCATGAGCATTCAAGTAGAACTCGTTTAAGCCAGTTTTGAGCATTTCCATATAGTTTGAAATATGTGCACTTGTTGCGACGTCACACAGTGATAAGTATAGCAGACAAACATAAAAAAAAAGACTGACAGACAGAAAATATAGACTATAGAGCTTTGCCGCAGACCCGAGACTAGACCAACGACAGCTGGCGTGTCTATATCTATATGAGTGGAACATATATATATATATATATAGTATAAAATTATTTATAATTATTTCATGAGTGGTTTTCTTTGCCAAATTCGAAAGTTTAGTGAGGTCAATGTGTGCATGATAAATAAATGTTGGTTCTAGCCATTTATTATATGATCCGTTGTAGATTATCATTTTGGGTTGTTAAACAACTCGTTTCCTACTTAATGCCTTTTGTAGATAGTAACATTTTTAGATTGTATCAATGGTTTTTTGTTTTCCTTTTATTTATTTTTTTGTTTTTAAACATTTTCATTCATTTTACGTGACATTCACATTTTGCGCGTTTTGCGCGCGACTAAAATCGCTACATGATGTTTTGCATGCGCGCTGTATTTTGTGTTCAGCTTAGATTAGCGAGAAGCAAAACAAATATTCTCACGCTCGCTGCTCATTAGCAATTACGAGTATTTAGCTCCTCCTACCCCCCACACCCCCTATCCATTCGATGGATCACCCCCATAACCGAATGGGGTAATTGGTAAGTTGGGAACGTGTGGCAACTATGATGGTATTGTAGCTGATAACTCTTCTCTATGTAACACAACACTCTCTAAAATGGTAAAAGGTCTCCCTTTACAAAGTGCACCCTATAACAAAATCCTATCTGGGGCATAACGGTTGATGGCATGGAGTAAATCGATTTTTGTGTTTTCTATTTTTTGGGTTAATTGTACTGCCTCACAAAAATAAAAAAATAAAACAGAAACTAACTTGTATTTTTTCACCATCCTTTTAACTCGTTTGTCATGCCCACAGTCAAGACGCAAGATGCCGGCCAAAGCAGTCAATAAGAAAGAGAATTTAGATGATCTCAAACAGGAGTTAGATATCGACTTTCATAAAATCTCTCCTGAGGAATTGTATCAGCGCTTTCAGACACATCCCGAAAATGTAAGTGCTTACAATGATCAAAATGAAAAACATCCATACAGTTGATAGCTGATCTAATTTTTGCATTTTTTTATGTATAGGGTCTGAGTCATGCCAAGGCCAAGGAGAATTTAGAACGAGACGGTCCCAATGCGCTCACACCGCCCAAGCAGACGCCCGAATGGGTGAAGTTCTGCAAGAATCTGTTCGGTGGCTTCGCCATGCTGCTGTGGATCGGTGCTATACTTTGTTTCGTGGCCTATTCGATTCAGGCCACAACCAGCGAGGAACCGGCCGATGATAACTTGTATCTGGGTATTGTACTTTCCGCTGTCGTCATTGTGACAGGCATTTTCTCCTACTACCAGGTGAGATACGATCTTAACAGCTGCACACTTGAGTTGTGGGTACTTATAATAATTGTATGATTTCATGCACTTCCATTTTAATATAGGAATCGAAAAGTTCCAAGATTATGGAATCGTTCAAGAACATGGTGCCCCAGTTTGCCACTGTTATACGTGAGGGCGAGAAACTGACGCTGCGCGCCGAGGATCTCGTCCTGGGCGATGTGGTTGAAGTGAAGTTCGGTGATCGCATACCCGCCGACATACGCATCATTGAGGCGCGCACCTTCAAGGTGGACAACTCATCGCTGACCGGTGAATCGGAGCCGCAATCGCGTGGTGCCGAATTCACACACGAGAATCCCCTGGAGACCAAGAATTTGGCGTTCTTCTCGACCAACGCTGTGGAGGGCACTGCCAAGGGTGTTGTCATTAGCTGTGGCGATCATACCGTTATGGGTCGCATTGCTGGCTTGGCATCCGGTCTGGATACCGGCGAGACACCAATTGCCAAGGAAATTCATCATTTCATTCATTTGATTACCGGCGTCGCTGTGTTCCTTGGCGTTACCTTCTTTGTGATTGCCTTCATTTTGGGCTACCACTGGCTGGATGCGGTCATCTTTTTGATTGGCATCATTGTCGCCAACGTGCCCGAGGGTCTCCTGGCCACTGTCACCGTGTGCCTCACCCTGACCGCCAAGCGTATGGCATCGAAGAACTGTTTGGTGAAGAATTTGGAGGCTGTCGAAACCCTGGGCTCCACCTCGACCATCTGCTCCGATAAGACAGGCACACTCACTCAGAACCGAATGACAGTCGCTCATATGTGGTTCGATAACCAAATTATTGAGGCCGACACCACTGAGGATCAGTCGGGTGTTCAATACGATAGAACTAGCCCTGGATTCAAGGCGCTCTCTCGCATTGCCACTCTCTGTAACCGTGCCGAGTTCAAAGGTGGCCAGGACGGTGTGCCCATTCTGAAGAAGGAAGTCAGCGGTGATGCCTCCGAGGCGGCACTGCTCAAGTGCATGGAACTTGCTCTCGGCGATGTGATGAACATTCGCAAGCGTAACAAGAAGATTGCCGAAGTGCCATTCAATTCGACCAACAAGTACCAGGTGTCCATTCACGAGGTTGAGGATGCCAACGATCCACGTTTCCTGCTCGTCATGAAGGGTGCTCCCGAGCGTATTCTCGAACGTTGCTCGACCATCTTCATCAACGGCAAGGAGAAGGTACTCGACGAGGAGATGAAGGAGGCATTCAACAATGCCTACATGGAGCTCGGCGGACTTGGCGAGCGTGTGCTCGGTTTCTGTGATTTCATGCTGCCCTCTGACAAATATCCCACTGGCTTCAAGTTCAACACCGATGACATTAACTTCCCCATTGACAATCTGCGCTTCGTCGGACTCATGTCCATGATTGATCCCCCACGTGCCGCTGTGCCCGACGCTGTGGCCAAGTGCCGTTCTGCCGGCATTAAGGTCATCATGGTTACCGGCGATCATCCGATTACTGCCAAGGCCATTGCCAAGTCTGTCGGCATCATCTCCGAGGGCAACGAGACCATTGAGGATATTGCCCAGCGCCTCAACATCCCCATCTCTGAGGTCAATCCCCGCGAGGCCAAGGCCGCCGTTGTCCACGGTGCCGAACTGCGCGATGTATCTTCCGACCAGCTCGACGAGATCCTTCGCTATCACACTGAAATCGTGTTTGCCCGTACCTCACCCCAGCAGAAACTCATCATTGTCGAGGGTTGCCAGCGCATGGGAGCCATTGTGGCTGTCACTGGTGATGGTGTCAACGATTCGCCTGCTCTAAAGAAGGCCGATATTGGTGTTGCTATGGGTATTGCCGGCTCCGATGTGTCCAAGCAGGTGCGTTCTCTTAAACATCTTTATCTAAACAGATTTAATTGATTGCTAATCGACGATTGATTGCTATTGCAGGCTGCTGACATGATCTTGTTGGATGATAACTTTGCCTCCATTGTTACTGGTGTTGAGGAGGGTCGTTTGATCTTTGACAATCTGAAGAAGTCCATTGCATACACTCTGACCTCCAACATTCCCGAAATCTCACCCTTCTTGGCCTTCATTCTGTGCGACATACCACTGCCACTGGGTACAGTTACAATTCTGTGCATCGATTTGGGCACTGACATGGTAAGTTTACCCGCCTCCCCGCCCCAAAAAGAGCTAACCACCTAAACTAATCATAATATATACACATATATATAACTGTATATGTGCCTAAGATATAGCTGTGCAAGTTAAATGTAAAAGTTCCAACAAGTCAAGTTAGATAGCTACATAAGAATCCATCCCCCTCAAAAAAAAAATCACCCGCCACATAAATTGCATAAACTGTACAATTGAATACAATTGATTTGGGGGCGAGCAGATACCAGCCATATCGCTGGCCTACGAAGGACCCGAGGCGGACATTATGAAGAGGCGTCCACGCAATCCCGACGTGGACAATCTAGTCAACGAAAGGTAAAATGGAAAGCAGCCATTGCTGTGACTCGTAATACGATTTGTCCGGCTGCCCGCTAACTGCTAGTTTTAGGCTATATTTATATATATATATATACAACTCTCTATTTGTAGTTTAAGTACTCTCCTACCAACGATTGAGCTGCTAGCTCGTAAACTCTGTAATACTCTGTATGAAAAATTGTAAATTGTAAAACCGTTTTGCTAATCTTACGCTCCTGCAATAATCCACAACCTAGGTGCCAGCCATATCATTGGCCTACGAACATGCCGAAGCCGATATTATGAAGCGTCCGCCACGTGACCCATTCAACGATAAATTAGTGAATTCAAGGTGCCAATCAAGTCAATTTCTACTACCCAAACACACATACACACTCGCACACACATACACACACACACACACATATATACACTCACACTAACATTAACACTGCACTTGTGTGTTAAACTTAAAGAAAAACCGATGAAAAAAAACAATACTAAAACTAAAAAAGCGTTTTAGCTGCAACATCATAAACTATAACTTATCGATGTCTGTGTATGTGGCTGGATTGTAATTAGCATAAGCGTAAATTAAACTAAAAAACCAAACAAAACAAAAAATACAATAACAAACTTGCAGCGCAGCAAAGAACTAAATACAACTAACTAACAAACCGTTCCATATTTATGGTTTACAAACTTACTTCTAAGATTATCATTTACACATTGAACATTTCTCACACATTTTTGTAGCATACCTTTCTTAAATCCATTTAATCCATTCGTCATCCTGATCGCCCATTTCATTAACAGCTCTGTACAATTCCCACCTCTTTTTTCACACACTTTATATATATATTGTGTTTATATTTTTATTTGTAACAAAAAGTAATCTCAATTGGCCATACACATCCATACCAAATACCCACGTTCTTCTGCCTTTGTGTAAATTTGCGAACAGTTCCCAAAAAAAAAAAAAACCCAAAAATAACCAAGAAAATTTGCCTCTGTTCTAACGCTCTAAATGTTAATTGATGTGCGTTGTACATGTTTCGTTTACCTCACCGCCAAAATTGTTTTCACAAGTGTTTTTTTTTTTTGTTTTTCCCACCGTCCCGCTGAAATATTGGCATTGTTTGTTTAAAATATAATTTATGCGTTTTGTAAAACTAAACCAAAATTTAACAACAACAAAAAAACCAAACCGAAATTAACATTGCAAAATTGTTTGTCACGTACATATTTGGCATTTACACATATACATATTATATTGATTGGTATTAACAAAATTAACTGCACACAAAATCTGTAGCAAATACAATAGTCGCAAACGCATACATAGCATAACAAAAACTCCAAAAAGGAAGTTCTTGAAATTTTTTTTGAAAATTATGCAATTTACGATTTATGTTGTTTACAAATCTTTTATGTTATTTAAGTTGCGACACAATTCCTCACATTCCTCCACTCTCAATGCTCAGACTCAACTGAAATCATTTTAACAGCTGACTAAGCTAGCTTTAAGTCGTCCAGTTCTTAAGTCGTCGCTTATTCAATTAGTATATAAGTTGCCAAAGGTTTTCCTTCCCCTTAACAAACACCCTTACCCACCCACCAACCACACCCTGCGGCAGATTTTCCACAGATTTCGCAGTCGTTGTCTACAGTTTCCGTTTGACACCCTTGAAGGAGAGAGACCGCGATATATATTTCAGAATGAGAGAATAGATACCAACTGAATTTGCCATAATTTATCGTATTGATTTTTAATTTATTTTTATTCCACAAACGTTGAACGCGCTCGCACGTTTAGGTGCCAGCGATTTCCTTAGCCTATGAGACGGCTGAATCTGATATTATGAAACGCCAGCCCAGGAATCCCTTTTCGGATAAGCTGGTCAACGAAAGGTAAAGTTTTTCTTTGTGCTGCCCTCAACAAATAACAACAACAACAACAACTACTACTACTACAAAATCAAACATATGAGAAAATCAAAATCAAATACACAAAAACATACAAAGTAACAAAAAAAAAAAAAATCAAAGTAAATCTGAGGTGCAAATGAACAACAATAAATCTCTTCTTTTTATTGCAACCACAGCATAATAATGATCTTAAAAGAAAATTACAAATTTTGATATTTATCTAAAGTACATTTTCGAAAACGTTTTTCGGTCAAAAACTTTAAAGCAAAGTACGCTTTCTATCTAAAGAAATTTAATTCAGTCATCTTTTTTTGTCTACTACTAAACTAAGAACTAAGAACTTTTCAAATTAGCTTCAAGTATTCTTTAGCCTATAATTATATTACCTTTTTCGGTTGAATGTTTTAAAAGCTGTGCATTTTTTTAAAAAAATAATTATTTATGTTTATTCTAAATTACAATTGATTCTTTTATGTATTTTTTGTTAAATGTTTTAATTTGTTAAAGTTTTTTTTTTGGAAGAGTTCTAATTATTTTTGTTTCATGTTTTATGTGTTTTAATGTTTTTTTTTCTTGAGTTGAGTATCTTCAAATTTCAGTTCTAGTTAAATGTCTCAAGTTAAGTAACGTAATGTTGAAATATTTCTAGATTATTAACATTGTTGATCTCGACTTTACATTTTATTATAGCTAAAACGAAAAACCGTATTTCATTTCGATTCTAAAGCACTTTCATGCTGATCTAGTTAAAATCATTTTTAATAACTTTTGCTCTTTAGCAGCAGACTTCTTCAAACAAACACTGGGGCTATAGGCTTCACAAATACACTTACAATTTTGTATACTCTTTCAATTTATTTCGTTCGTGAAGTATCTTACTACTTTTATTTCTTTAAATATTTTGTCTTATTTCAAAAGTTTCATTTAACTTTTGTTGATGTAATTTGCGCTTTTCATATTATATTCTAATGCAATGATATAAAATGCTATATACAACTTAATTTATATGCGCATACTCGTATTCCAATATATACTTAAATATATATACATATATATCTACAATAGCAACAGTTTATTTATGTAATTTCAATTCATTTTTTGCAATTCTTCAATTTATCAAACAATATCAAATGTGAAACACTGAAAATCAAAGTTAAAAAAGAAACACAAAGAAAAACTACGCAACTACTTATTCGGGTGATATATATCTGATCCATCTCGCCTTGGAAACAAAAAAAAAAAAACAAGAATCAACGAATTTCGCACTTGAAAAACTGAAAGAAAATGAAAACCAAACACCTGGAAAATGTCTTCTTCACCAATTCTGTGAAAAAACGACCACTTTCGGCTTATATAATTCTCAAAAGATTATTCACACAAGCAATTCGCAATTCGCAATTGCTTCCTTTTGGTCTCTCTTGCTCTCTTGCTTGAATATGTAATATGTATATCTACTACGGTGCTCCAATTCTTTCTACTTGCCCTATAATTTCATTGCTTGTAACACTCATTTTTTTTTCCATAAGACCAATTCTCTTAACTTTCGATTATCTATCTCAATTCCATTTTGGAAGGTAAGTCTACGTCAGCGTTGTTTCTGCGCCGCCCACCCACTCGACTAAGACCAGATCTGGAGTGTGTATCTATTGGATATATACTACATATGCATATATATATATATACAATTAGTTGCGATCTCAGACAACTTTTCCATAGTGTTATCTTATCTTATTTTATGCTAGTACAGGTTTAACTATAATTCTAGTGAGTCTGTAATATGCAGATATATGTAATTTTCCTTGCGTTTACTTATGCTAATTGCAATTGTATATCGAATTTAATGCATTCCTAGCCAGTAGTTGATATCTTCTCAACATACTCATACGTCATTTAACCGTTTTCTCTCTGATTGTTCGAAAACATTAAAAACACCATCTATCAACCCAACCAGTCAGTCATCAATCGAAGAGATCTCTCTCTCTCTCTCTCTCTAAACTCTTGATCGGTCGGTCAGTTTATCAATCATCAATCAATCAATCATTGTTTTGATTTGTAGTAAACCAATCGCGTTAAAAACTGTCGCAAATTTTCTCTAGTCTTAACATATATACTTATATATATAAATATATTTAACAAAAGCAAAAATATAGTGCAAGTTAAGCTCTAAGCAAACTCTTTACCAACTCAAACGTAATCCTCTTTTTGTACTACCCGAAGTTTTGTTACTTGGGTGCCCGATTTTTTGCCACCCAGTGTAGTTTTTAGGTTTGTAAGTACACATGAGCTAAATACCAAATACAAAATACAGCTAAAACAATAACAATTACCACTAAATAATAATACCAATTACCAAACAAATACTGAACTTGATAAGCTCCTGATTGAACACTGTGTAACGCTCTCTCTTTATCAAATACCAAATGCAACTGCCCCCTCTCTCTCTCTCTCGCTCTCTCTCTGTCTCTATCTAAGTACTAATTATTAACTATAACTAATTTATGCGAAAACTATCTTAGCAATTATACTTATATATCTATTATTAGTATATACTATGACAACAAGTATTTATTATCTAATATACATACAATATGCCAGCAAGAGATTTACGTCAAACTTTAACCAAGTTTTTCCTTTTTCGTATTTTCCCCCACATTTTTTTCTAACTTTTATTATGTCTTTCTTTTGATTATACTCAAAAAATGACGAAACTACTTGCAAATTGCACTATAACAACTAATAAAAACAAATACTAAACTAAAATCTTCAAAACAAAAAAACAAAAAACGAAAACCAAAAATGAAAATGAAAATAATACCGCAAAGATACCGGCCATTTCACTCGCTTACGAGCAAGCCGAGAGCGATATTATGAAGCGTCAGCCGAGAGATCCGTACCGCGACAACTTGGTAAACCGCAGGTCAGGACAAATCTATTACGATAAGGATATAAAAATACAAAAAAAAAAAAACTAAGAATTGTTTACTTTTAGTTGTTTAGTTACAAAATACTAGAAAATGAACAAACATGCAACCACATCTTATTTTAAATTTTCCAATTTGACTTTGGTTTGAGTTGTGTGTGTGTCGCGTACCCTCTTTCTTCCTACCTCCCTCCCTACCAACCTGTCTTTCTCTCTCCAATTGGCCAGCAATCTACAAAAATTATTACTGAAACACACACCTAATTTTTAGTGCAACCCAAAAAACAAAAAAAAAACCTCAAAATTTGCATTTGTTTGTTCGTTTGCTGATGCATTTTTGTGTTCTGTTTCATTTGGTTTTGTTTTTTGGTGTCTTCTTCAACTATTTCGATAAAAGATTTTTACATATTTGAACCTTGCAACGGTTTTTGAATTAAATCAAATTTATCATTTAAATTCTTGTATTTTTCATTCGAGCTCTTGATGTGGAATGAAAAATGTTCTTAAAAATCACCAAAACAAAAATGTGTTTCTGTTTTCCAAATTCTAAAAAACATTTCTAAATATATATTACAAAAAAAAAAAAAAACAAATTCTTCCTTCTGTTAGTTTATTCCACAAAGGTTCCCAATTTATATATTAACTGTTTTTTGTCTTTTCGTTGTTAAACCAAAACCAAAACCAAAATCAATGTGCATCAATGTTTATGTGTTTTATCGCACATATCTACTACCATTAAATATATGTTTCCAAACCGAAACAATAATCAAGTCGCTTCTAGACCTAGTTCTGAGACATGCTGAGCATTAATAGCCAAAAAGAAAATAACACCACACCACACCACACACACACACACACACAGATACACACACACATGTACGTTGACAAATTACAAAAGTAAACAAAACGACTAGCGAAAAAATCATAACCGTAGTTAAAATTAGTACAATAAAAACAAACAAACCAACAAACAAAAAAACAACCAACCAAACAACAGACTACAACAATTACAATAACAAAACGAAGCTTACTGCCGTTACTTTTAGCCCAGTTAGTGTGTTACTTAGTAGTTGAGTTTGTTCAAGTCGATAAGCATAAAACCAAATACCAAATGCTTCAGTTGTGTTTTACTTAGATGATATACACTCATATCCGCATAAATATATATATAGATATTTAGATATATATATATATACTATATATCAAATATCAATCGCAAACTGAAATCCTCCCCAAGTCTGGTACCAAAAATACAACGTCGCAGTAAGTCTCAATCGTGGGCTCGGTTCTAAACAACAATGGATATTTTTTTTCGTATTATAATCAATTTTATTTCTAAGTCTATGTATGCATTTTTTTTTTTACGAAAAACAATGGTTTTTCCACATGTTAATTTTATGTGTAAGTTTTCCATATGTTTTTAAGTTGTGTTTTTGTTTTGTTCCAAAGTTTTTTAAGCGTAAGTAAATGAAAAATGGTATGCAAACCAAATACAAACAGTTGTGAATAGCTGCATTTGCTTGTCCCATTCTGTGTGCTTTTAATTTTTAATATACCACTGCATGTTTAGATACTAAATATTCTTAGAGTAGCTGCATGTTTTTAATACGTTGCCCACCCCAAAAACTAACAATAAAAACTTTGCTTTTCACCACAACTTTATAAAGATGCCAAAACAAAATCAGAATTATTAAGATAACGATTCTTTGCGCTCTCACGCTTATATTAAATGCGCGCTATAGCTAACAAAACAAATAAATATAAAATAATCGAAAACAAAATGATTCGCTTAAAACACAATCCACGCTATATGTAAAATTTAACACTCGTAAAACTAAAAAAACATTAAACATTCATTTGCTTAAAGTAAAAAAGAGTGCGTCCATCAGCTTAAAGATAAGACATAAAGATCAAAGTTACCAAATACAAAAGAAAAGGAAACTCGATTGCAATTTTGTGAACTGCTCTTGTTCAGGGTTTTTGCAAAAATGTCCAACTTACATTTATATTTCTACAATCAACTTATGTTTTATATTACTTCCATATTTGGAAAACATTCCTCTTTCATTTATTTTGTGATAACAAAAAAAACCATGAACAAATAAATGCCCAAACAATGCCTAATCTTTAATGCTCTTGGAAGGTCGCTTTGCGTTCAATATCAGTTCAAAAACAAACAAAAAAATAAGAGAAAAAAAAAGAAACATCAACAAATTACCACACAAAAATTAAATCTGAATGCATTGTCTCGAGCACATTTTAACGCATTTTGTTTGCCTTTTCATTTCTCTGCTCAATTTGTTAACGGCTTTACCAAAATTAGATTGATTTCGATGGCCTATGGACAAATTGGCATGATTCAAGCTGCCGCCGGTTTCTTCGTATACTTTGTCATTATGGCTGAGAACGGCTTTCTGCCCATGAAACTGTTTGGCATCCGTAAGATGTGGGACTCCAAGGCCGTTAACGATCTAACTGACTCGTATGGTCAGGAATGGGTGAGTTGTAATAGCACAAGTTTGGACAAGTTTGACGATTTCTAACGAATCATGCTATGTGTTTCTTTTTTTGTAGACCTATCGCGATCGCAAGACTTTGGAATATACCTGCCACACTGCCTTCTTCATTTCGATTGTGGTTGTGCAATGGGCCGATTTGATCATCTGTAAGACGCGTCGTAATTCCATCTTCCACCAAGGCATGCGTAACTGGGCCTTAAACTTTGGCTTAGTATTCGAAACGGTTCTCGCCGCCTTCCTCTCATACTGCCCCGGCATGGATAAGGGTCTGCGCATGTACCCACTGAAGTGAGCACTTCATCTGCGATTTATAATATATCAATCTGAAAACGTTGTTTTTTCTTTCTGTCAACAGACTCGTCTGGTGGTTCCCAGCCATTCCATTTATGTTGGCCATCTTTGTGTATGATGAGACGCGTCGTTTCTACTTGCGTCGCAATCCCGGCGGCTGGTTGGAGCAGGAGACATACTATTAAACACCTAAACACCCACACCCACACCCACATACACACAAACACACACACTCTCCCAACACCACCCAACACACATACACATACCCAATACACATACAACCAGCAAAGGCAACAAATAGTAATTGTTTATTTACCACAAAGCCACACAACCACAAAAGTGCAACCACAGCGACCACAGAATTCTGTGTGGCTCCAACAACAGCAACAATTGCAGCAACAAAGCCACAAAATAGTGCAACCACAGAATATTGTGTGGCTACAGCAACAACAACAGCAACAACAGCAACAGCTACAACTGCAGCTGCTCTTGCAACAAATAACAACAACAAAAGCTATAGCATAAAACATATTGCGATATGTTTTAAATTTTAATTTAATTATTTAAAGTAAAAACAAAAAAAAAACAAGCAAAAACAAAAATGCAAGCGATAATTATTTTAAACATTTAAGTAAATTTAAATTATAAATTAAAGCTATAAATAAGATTTAAATAAAAATAAAGTAAAAACTTCAACAAAAAAGAAAAAAAAACAACAACAAATTTCGAGAACACAAAAACAACCCCACAAACAATAACCTAACAACAAACCAAGTTTTTAGTAAAATTATTTAACAAAAAGCATAAACAACAATATATTTAATAAAAATGCTATAAAAGTGGAGAAAACCAAAAAAATAATAACAACGCAAACAGCGCGAAGAAACAAAAGCAAAGCTAAAGCGCAACTAACATTAATAATATTTACATACCCAACTCACAGACACACACACAGATACATATACACAGCCACCCACACAAACACACACACACACACACCTTTAGACAGATAACACAACGCATGAAGAGACAAATTATATAAGAAGTTTAGAGAAATTAAAAAATAATAAAAAAAGAAACGAAAATTTTGACAAAAAACAAAAAAAAAAACTAAACAAAAGGCAAAAAACAAAAATGGAATAAATTAGCGTAGTTACAAAATAAGCAGAGACGAAGCAAAGATAAAACAACAGCAACAACAACAACAACAACACGAATATTTGGACAAATTTGTGGGGCATCTGAGAAAAAAGCGAATGCAGAAATAAGCATAAATAAATGAAAAAAATAAAATAATAATAATAAAGAGGCAACACAATTAATATAATTGTTTATATATATACACAAATATTATATGGAAAAAAATTTGATTATATAAATGGAGCTATACAATACTTACAACAACCAAAAAACGATAACGAAATCTACCAACTGGCGGGAACAGAGCGGCACAGAGCCACATGGACCGAAAACAGCAGTGTACCCCAAGATAAAAACAAAGTGGAGAGAGCATTTGCGAACTACTGTGCTGTGCCGGCAGTCGGTTAGGGAGAGAGACACAGCAGCTGAGTGAAAGCAGCTAACAATTTGTTATATGACGAGTAAATGTTTATAAAAGCCATAAAACCTAAAATTGAATATTATGCTTTTGTGTGCATTTGAAGCCCAAGCAACACAAATCCTCACACAAACACACTCAGACACACACACTCACTCAGTCACTCACACGTTTTTTGGGCACTTGGGCGTATATACAACACTGCCACGCCCACAAAATGATAATGAATGTTTGTTACGTTTTACACGGCACAGCGTCCCCCAGAAATTGGGCAAGCCCTAGGCAGTACCTAACAGTATTGTGTTCTTTTTTCTATAACTTTCGCTTTACACACACATACACCCCACACACACTCCACACACACTCACTAGCTGACTTGTGGTTAGAATTGTTGACATGTAGGCAATAAACAGCAAAATTTCAATTCAATCCAAATGGCAAACAAATTGAGCGTTTTTAATAAATGACAATTTGTGACAATACTGACAGTAGTTGTCACTAAGCCAATCGGTCAGTCGGTCAGTTGGTCAGTTAGTCAGTTACACCCACAACACACAACACACGCAGAGACATAAATCCGCCGCTGCTTTTCAACTAGTTTCTCGATTTGTTATCTTTTCATTTATGATGAGTTTTAATGATGATCATTGACATTGAAATTAATGATACATTAATGGATTGCATTATGGCATGTTAGTTATGACAAACAAAACAAAATTATTATTAGTTGTTAACAAATTATATTGAATAATAATAATAATTATGATAACGATGTTCATCATCATGAATATTGTTGTTGATGTGAAAGTGAAACTAAACTAAAAAAAAAAATGAAACAAAACAAAAACAAAACAAAAAACCTAAAGCGAATACAAAAAAACCAATATAAATTCATAATGTGAACAACAAACAAAACATTTATAACGAATGCAAAACAATTCTATAAAACCTTTCGACACAATAACCAAAACATTGACAAATTGTCGAGAAACAAGCAGAAATGGTAAACAATTTGCATACGATATAATGTGTAACAGAAACAGAAACAACAACAACAACAAAACAAAACAAATGAAAAACATGAGAGTAAACATTTTTAATTTTTTGTTCTTTCGCCCTCCGCTGTAAATGTATTTGTAGATTTAAACAATGATTAAAATAAAAAACTACATAAATAAAACTTAAAAAAAAAAACAAAACAAAATTTTTGTTTTATTGGGCTGCTCAACAGTTTCTTTGGATGATGTACAAAGAAATTGAAAAAAAAGATTAGATTAAATATTGATAAATCATGATAATGGATATATATTTGTTACTTAAATCTTGATTGGTCAACGAAGCTTCTTAGTCAATTATAGGGTATATGAAAAGGACCTCCGTCTAAATCGATGAGCACATTTCCCATTATTCTTTTTGCCATTTTTATTGTTGTATCTGTCCCTGTTACTGATTTTTTATTTTTTTATATTTTTTTTGCTGCTTTGTTGCAAATGGACTCCATACGGGGTAACAATCTTTGGGTCTTATTAATTTCCGTTTTGCTTATTTATTTTGATGATATTTTAGGGTGGCTTATGGCCCTGTTCTACGTCAGCATCGCCGATAGCGCGAAAAGTAAACGCGAATTGCGACTGAGACACCTCAAACGTATTCAGGTGAATTTTATTTATTTAACTGTAACTAACACCCTGATTTACACTGAGCTTGAAACTTGTGCATTTTTCTATAATTTAAATGAAAATGTTTTTTACTTTTGACAAAGCATCGTAAAATTGGCTAAATGAGCGCTTTACATGTAGTTTTACAGCCATGGTTTATTACGTAGAACGTTGTAATAATAATTTTTGGTTATTAGCTGTTTGAGTGGCATTGAAAGTGGAATTACTAATTACATTGTTTTTATTTTAACGTTTTGTTAAAAATATCATTTGCATTTATTCATGTCATTTTAAAATTCAAGGTAGATTTACTTGAATGAACTGAATTCCAATGTATAAATGTATTGATTAACTTCAAAAAATCAGAAATTGAAATTTAATTTACTTTAATTAGAAATATACACATTTTATCTGATTATCATATATATTTAAAAAATTATAATAGTAAATTTATTAAAATATTTTTATAGCGATTTTAATTTTCTAATTTCCATTTCGAACATATTCGCATATACCTCAGTTAAAGTAGCGCACACGCTTAAAAAACGAACGAGCAGACCTCTTTTCCAATAGACTTAACACGGGCATCAAAAACTTGCGCGTTCGCTTGTCTAAGAAAGTGGGGGGTGGGGCCGCTTCTCCCAGCACCGTTACCCATACCAATTCCCTGTCTCTGTCCCTGTCGTTATACCAACAAACCCCCAACCACTCGTCATCGTGCCCTCCCGTCGCCTCTCTCTTAGAATGCGCCACTGGGACTGCTGCATTGAGCATGGAGTGGACTGCTGCGGAGAGAGACGTAAAGAGAGAGAGAGAGAGCGCATTTCTGTTATCGCTGCGCGTGTTCCATTTCCCAGAACGTTTCTTATCCTGTGCGCCGCCAGTTCGGCTTGTGTATTTTGTTATCTATGGTCGCGTTTCAAGCTCATGCGTTTCCAACTCGTTCGGCGACACGAAGCGCAGTTCGAGTGGCTCGGCTTTTGTGACGACGCGGCCAGTGGGTTATTCGGCCGAAAGTTTCGGGGCAGTCTTTCATTATCCGGCGCACGAGCGTGTTACGCTTTCGCATGCTACGACGCATCGAACTACGCAGAGCATTATAATAATAATAACAACAACAACACACATTTAAGCGACAGCAGCAACAATAACAACAAAGAAAAGCCGTTAGTTGGGCTTCTACTACAGTATTTAGTGTCGAACATTGCGAGTGTTTTACGAGTTTTGCTACAAATAAACACAAAAAAACCCACGCACACACACAAAGTGACAACAACAGAAATTCAGTGATTTATTATACCAGCCAGCATCAAAAATAATAAATAACCGTTACACAAATATTTTTGAAATTCTTGAATTATCACATAGATTGCAAAAGTATTTTCGATGCGTTGGACAAAAATAGAAATAGTTAAATTTACAGAAGCAGGTGCAGCCGAAGGATAAGGAGCAACTGCATCCGCTGACACCCCAAAAACTAGGCTAAATAGCTTTTGCATACTTTTGGGCGCACACAGAAAAGAGCACAGGACAGCGGCATACAAAAAGAGACACTGGCCAAAGAAGAGCAGAGGGCAACGAGAGGAGAGGAGGGGGAAAAGACACAGGTCGCCGACATTTGAACCTGCTGACCGGCAGGCCAGTTTCCTTGTGTTGTTGTTCTTCTTGCTGTTTGCCATCAAATTGTATTTTCGGTTTTTTTATTTTTATTTTTTGGCAACGTGAGATGAACCAAAATGTGCAATAACAAGCCAAAACTAACAACAACAAGCTGAAACACAACTGCAACAACAACAAAGAAAAAAGCGCCAGAATACAAAAAATTACATATATATATATATATATAATAAAAATAGAAGCGTGTGTGTGTGTGCGTGTGTATGTGTGTGAGTGAGTGTGGTGTAGTGGTGCAGTTCAACAGCCCCCGGGGCAGCAGCAGCTAAAACCGGAGCCCTGCTGCAGCTCGTAAGCGTTCGCCTCGTCACGGCTTCGTGTGTGTCGGTGCGGTGCGACTGTGTGTGTGTGTGTGTGTGTGTGTATCCTGCAGCAGCAACCGCAGCTCTGCAGCAGCAAAAATTGTGTCAGCATCAACAGCATCAGCATCAACAGCAGCAGCAGCATCATCAGCAGCGGCTGCTTCTGCAGCAGGTCGTGTGGCGCCTCAATGTTCACTAGCCGGTAATTTATACAACTTTCTCCATGCAACTTCCTTCAACTATGTTCGCACTCATGTTATTTTTAGAAAGAGAAAAATGCAGAATTTGTTACTCGAAAGAAACACAATAGTTGTCAAAATCCGGTAAAACAAAATTTGTATTTCAAAGATCAACCAATTTTCAAAAGCAATAACTTTTTGTGAGTCTGTGAAATCTAAGCGAGATTTAGGTTTTAGGTTGAACGTAAAATATACAAGTAATGGTAAAATTCTAGTTACAAAACTAATTTTACAAAAATTGCATAAAAACTGCAAATACCTAAAATATTTATTCGTATTGAATATTTTTTGACAGTTTTATTCATGGTTAGTGGCTGAATAAACACACAAGTTTATACTTTTTGGAATGGAATTACCTATGATATTAAATAAAATTGACACAGATTTCAGTGAAATGGATACCAGAAGTTTGTATATTGAATAAATTTAGAAGTTTTGCTCGCGATACGGTCTGGTATCATCGGTTCGTCTGAATTTCAATCTGGTTTGAAGTCTTTCTTTTTGATCATAATTCATCTTAAGAAAGCGAATTTAGCAATGGGTCAGAACATTCTTCGAAAGCTTTGTAAAAGTCTATCCTTATAATTGCAGCTTGGAGCTTGTGCTAAGCTGTCCATCATAAGTTTGTCACTGACGAACCGATTTTTAAAAGCAGTGCCTTTTGAGCCTCATTTACCTTAAAAACTCATAACTGTGCAAAATTTAAATTCTCATGAGAAGAAGAATATGAAGAATAAGATATTTTATAGACTTATGTTAAGCATCATAAATATACCCGAAGC